ATTGTACCGCAATTTTTATATACGGTATATTTATTACGGTATATCAGATATTTTGTACCTTAACATATTCTGATAAAAATGTATTTTACGATAAGAAGTACCGGCACCCTGAGTGCCGGTACTTTTTACAGTAACTTGAGATGGAATTTCTTACAGTGTAGAAAAATTTCACGAAATATGTCTGTTTTGGTGAAATTTTGATAAAGTTTTTAGAAAAAAATTTATTTTCAGTTTACTTTGGAGTACATTAAAGATCAGGAAGATTTGAATGCAAAGAAGGCATCAAAAATTATGCCCACTCCAAAGTAGGCATAAATAAGCTTATCTTGGAGCATGTTGAGAATAGAATGTGAGTTAATATTTCAATAGGAGCTACTAATGTTAACGAAAAGAGAGTATTTTACCCTAATAAGGATGCTAGATTTGTAATAATAACATTGATATTCTCAGAAAAATACAAAAATGGTAATTGAATAGAAAATGTCATTTTATTTAGAAGGTTGAATATTTTTTATACGCGTTTTTCTAGAACATTTTTTTTGTTATAAATAGCTGCTTCCATAGATAAAAGCAAAAAGTTTTAAACATTCGAATTAGTATTCAAATTAACATCTTGAAGGCTACTTAATCATTAAATCCACGCAGAGGACACCAACATTTAACATTCCGACAAAGTTTAATGAAACTTGCATTTTGCAATGCAAAAGATCAACAACCTCACCTTAACTCTTAAATTGAAGTGTTTCGTACTTTCCAAGTGTTTTTGGACAAGGACGGTCAATGAAATTGAAACGAAGAGTCAAGGGCGTTAAAAAGTGGAAACGATTCAAAATATACGATAAAAAAAGAGTTACCTTGTACCACTAAACTACAAATCGGTAGTTCGTTGAACTACCGCTAGAATATGCAATGTGGGTCACAAAACTCACTTCCATCCAATGTGTCTTATCATCTGATAAGACAAGTTTAAACTGCGATGGTAAATTACTTAAATAAGTTTGAGGAGATGAATTGAAAATAATCGAAGGAGAATTACTGAACTCAGAGATAAAGGAGACAAGTAAACAAAGTCATTTGTCAGTAAATAGACCAGAATTTCGCTCGCAAAAAAATGTTTTAACCAAAATAAATTTGCTTTCAATTATAAATTTATAAAATGTTTATTTAATTTGAGGTTCGGAAAATTGATTTTATTTCTTTTTCCTAAGTAAACGGGTCAAATCTTTTTTCTTTAAATGGATTGCATCTGTTAATGGGAATACTAAAATAAAAATGTAATTTAGGCAATATTTACATTGTCATTAGTTATTTTGTCAGCTCACATATATGCAAATACAAATAGGTAAAAATGAAGTTTTGGGAACTTATAAAAAAAGTTACTTAGATTTGCATGCATTTATATGTTAAGCAAGCCAATTTATTATTGGAAAAATATGTTTAGCAAGCCAATTTATTATTTTCGCTGACTAAATAAAAAAAGAAAAAAGTGCAATAAATATGCCATATTGAGCAATGGTATTTGTTAAAGGCCTATCATATACTTTTAAATAACCAGCTCTGTTATAAAAATATGAAAATGTACCATACAAATTGTTTTGAATGTTTACATTTGTAATAAGTTAATAAAATAATTTATCTCGATTTTCCAAATAAGATTGTCGTAGGTTATAACATAGAGTTAATTTATAAATAATTTTATAAAATTTACATGTAGGTATGGATTTGAAGAAAAATATATGCTTAATTTTTATGAGTAACATATTAAATTCGTACAAAACTAAAAACGTTATTTAAATTTTTTATTTCCGCATTTATATTTTAATAGTAATATAAAAACAAAAATAAAAAATTGAAAAATAATAGGAATAACTGGAATGTAAACAATTAAAAAAATTTTGAAATGTTTTTTTCTAAACCGCAATATTGTGAGTGCTTAATATAGGATAAAAAAAAAACTCAACTCAAAACTCATTTCACAACTGACAGAGTTTCAATGACTGACATATGCTAATTGTAAAATTTTGAAAAATGATTTCCGTAATATATCATAATATGTATAATATGATAATATGTGTTTTTTCAATATTCTTGAAACTACTAGTGAAGAGAGAACATAACGAAGTAACGAAAGAATGACAAAACATATCTTGATTTCATTTTAAAATTCAAATAATTAAAAATTATTTACAAAATAAAAATTTGTAACAATAGACTTATATCATTGCATGCTCGTTATAAAGAAGCTTAAAAATTATATGTAATTTGATTATAAATTAATGTAATTTTATATATGTTATAATTTTATATTATTATTATTTTTATATTATTATTATTTTTTATATATGTTATAATTTTATATATATTAATTAATCAAATTATATATAAAATTACATATAAAAATTATATGTAATTTTATATATAATTTGATTTATTTTAGTGTTATTTTAGTAATGATCTAAAAATATCAAAATAATTGAAAAAAAAATGAAAAGCAAACATGATTTTAAGAGTTCTGAAGTTATGCTACAAAATAAAAATTTTCAATTTAGCTCTAAATCCTCAAATATGTTAACTAATTAATAAATTAAAATTTTCAAGTGAAGTATTTCAATATATATTGCGAATAAAATGAGATGAAATTTCTTTTAATTTTGTTCAACAACATCATTTTGATAATAGGTCCAATGACTTTAATTAGTGAAATGGATTAATCGAAGTATATTAAACAACAGTAATAAACCATTTAATAAATACAGTATTTGGGAAAAATACAATTTCGTTAAATCAAAATTAGATCATAATAAAGATTAGCTGTACCTCACTATAAAAAAAGCATTAATTGATGTTACTGATAAATTTTTTATCCATCTATTTTATTTATGACATTTAAATGTTCAAACAAGCACTTTTGTAAGCATTTATGTGAGATATATTTTTAAAAATAAAAACAGATGTCTTAAAAAAATTTTCTCGATAATAATAACTTATCTTTTAAATTCTGATAAGAAATTTTTCAGCTATAAATATATTCTCGAAACACGTCGTTTATTGAATAATAGTTACATGATTAAGATTTTAGGAAACCTAACTTTTCAGTTCGTTTCACCTACATAATTTCTTTTCTGCATATTTATAACAGACCGACCATGCAACTTCACCGGTATAAATGCCTGAAAAATGTACGTTTTTCTCCCCAAATAATTTTACGAGGACAAATAGATTTACCATAGTCCAATTTATCCAAGGCCTTAAACTCACAATATAATGGAGGATAAATGAGGACGATCTCTCCAACAGAACTAACTATTATTTACTAGGGTGGACTAGATGATAGAAGTAATATTTTAAATCCATTTAGCTTCTTTTATTAGTGAAAACTCATTTTTTTCTAACTTGACTTAGCATTATTTAATAAATTATTAATAATGCAACCTAATATATCTTTTCGGATAGATGGGATGTTACGAGTATTTTCGAAGGCAAAAACACTGCTTTAGCTAATATAGAATCTTACATGCCGATAAATAAATAAGAAATCTAATTCAAAAAATTAAATTTATCTTTGATATTTTTTGGCGGTGGTCTTTCTTGAAGGTTTCACTGTAACATAAATTTTATTCCCCAATATATTCATTGCTCTACAATGACTAAATAAATGATAAAAACATGTAATTGGAAAAAAATGATAAAATAAGTGATACGTTTAAAAAAATGATAAATTAATTTATTAATTTTCGAAGAAAAAATCAGTGGTGATCGAATACTATAAAATTAAAATTATTGCAATAAAGAAAATAGAAATTTGGGGGATTTTTTTTTAAAGATGTTACAAATATTAGGAATAGGGTTTTATGAAATAGACAATTAGAATGGCACGAATAAAAGATTCAATAAAATATGTTTTGTAGAATAGTGAACGCATCGTGAGAACAATCTCATCTTCGCTGCGCTAACAGGGAGAGATTTCTTCTCGCGAAAGGCAAATGTAGATGGCTGAATTATTTTTCTTTTTTAGGGTATATGATAAATAAAAACATTCAAGGTACATGCCTACAGAACTGATTTAAAGATTACGAAGATATATTAAAGTATGTTTATTGATACAAGTTCACAATAATGTTTAGTGATAATATAAAGCAAGATATGCTAATGCCGGAAGAATAACATTAATTGGTTAAACAATATTAAAATGTTGAACTTTAAAAAATAAAACATTATAAAAGAGAAAAACTACTTTTTCATATATAAATATATTATTGCAAATCTTCAAAAATTTTAGAGTAACAAAATATTTTTACTTTTTATTAATGTTGTTAGTATTTTAATTTTTATTAAGGCACGAGTATTTAAATGATTTCTGAAATTTTCATGCGATTTCACTTAACAGAAAATATATATAAAAGTAAGAAAGCATAAAAATAGCATTTGAAGGAAGATTATTGGAAGGAAATTTTGAATGAGATTTAAGTAAATTTGAAAAGAAGCTTCTAACAATTATTCACACAACATTTTCGTTGGAAGTTCTCTTCTTTAACGGTAGAATGTTTCAAAATAAATATAATGTAGGAACTTCTGAGAAAAAATTTTATAAACAAATTCATTATATTTTTAATTAATTTTTCTAATATTTAATTATTTATTAAAACAAAAATATTTTAAAAATCTCAAAATTGTAGAAATCTCAAAATCTCAAAATTGTCAAAAAATAGAATTTTCTACTCATAAGAACATTATAGCAAACGATTTTCAGTTGAAAATGAAGAGAATAGTCGAAGAACATGTAAGTCAGAGTTAAATTAATTTTAATAAAATATTATTTTGAATAGCTAAAACTATAAAGAAATTTTTTTACATTGGAAACTGCCTCAATTAATGATATAATAAACTAATGCAATATAGATAACACGTTTGCAAACCTGAAAACTACATGGTTTTAATAAGTTTACTTAACATGTTTTTCACTAAACCTCAATAAATTAGTGAAGATAAAAATGACTTACCTGTAAATCTTGGGCTAAATCAGGGCTCAACATAGTCCTTTGCTGAATAGGTGCCGTCCCGTGTGATTGGTAGTACGTCCTGAACAAGGAAAAACAAAACTTTCTATCAGAAAACCACTTTTTCACACTATTAACACTTCAATATTCAACAGTTACGTTATAAAAGTTTTTATAAAACCACAGAACTGCGTAAACATGCTTCTTTACAAATGTTAGTTAATAGTCAATATTTTTCCAGACAAAATTTAACTATTCCAGACAGTGTTCTCACTCAAGAGATGATGAGAACTTGGCGCTCAAATTGTGGGATTGAAAAAAAGTATAGTTCTAACTGGCTGCAATCGCCTTGAAGGTTGTCTTCTATACAAGGTCGCGGGGCGTTTAGATCAAGGCAAAAATTTGTAGTGCTGTCTTACAAGTCAGTCGTCTATAGCAACCCGTTCTTATCCCGTCGCTCGTGAGAGAGAAACTGATTTCGACTACTGCTACTTCAGCTGACGTTGATAGTGGCAAGGAGAGGAAAGTGACGGAGAGACTTGACTTTGGCGATATTACTTGGCGATGGAAAGAATTTAATTTTAGAATTATGAAAAACCACTTGGCGAATTTTATTATTCAATGTCAGTTCTTTTATTCTTGAATTAATTTCTCTTACGCTATTTTTTTTGTTGTTTATTTTCTTTTTAGATAAGTTAAGTAAAAAATCGCTAGAATTATTACATGTGTCTATATTTGCCGATAAAAGAAACCTAAGCAAAAAATTACGAAGTCGATGTACTAAGTAAAAACTCAATATCATGATTTTTTTTTTACTCTCTCCTCATATAATGTGTCAACAGATGGAAAAGTTTAAAAACGAAGGTTTTTTTTCTTATTTATTTTAAAGCTAAAGATTTTTTTATTTACTTTTTAGAGTGAAAGAGAGGTAAGCGTATATTTACTTTTAGAATAGAATTTCATTATTGCAACGCATTAGTAATAATTAATTAATAAAAGAATACATTCTCTTGTCTCAGTGCAAAAATGGGATGGGAAAATTGATGAACTTAATGCACTAAATAAAAGTTAAATATTAAGTTGTTTTTTTTCCCTTCATTTTACACTCTCTCATATCATGTGACAACAGATGGAAAATCTTAGGACATGGACTTTTTTACAGCTCAAAAGATATTTTTTAAGTCAAACGTCACAAACCTATTTTTTAAGTCAAACGTCACGACAAGAGATATCAAATAGTCTTTTTCAAACATTTTCTTTAAATAAGCTAAATTTCTCTAAATATAGTAAAGTATCAAAATATAGCAAGCATAAGTCACAAAAATAATTGAATGATAAATTTGATACAGCTCCCAAGATTCTTTTAGAAGCAAAAGTTTAAAAAAATGCATATTAAATTATAATGACAAAACAGTTACAGTTAACAGTTTTTTTCCCCCGACCTTTTGCTTGAGAATATTTCATTAACTAAATACTTTCAAAACTTTCTTTTCATTGTAGCTTCAAATACTTTTAGAAACAAAAGTCTTGATAATTATTAAAAAAGATAAAAGGAGGCAAACAATTCCTTTTTCAAACTAAAAACAAAAATATTTTTATACATTTTTTTTGGTTAAATTTATTTCATGGATAAAATAAAAAGAAATATATTTATCAAAAAATACAAACAAAACAAAAAAAAATTATTTAACAAATAAAGAAAGTTTACGCTATACATTTTTTTAATTTTTCTCTAAATTATCTAATACTTTTATAAACCAGTTCAATAGCACACTAGACTCTTTTTCTTCATTTAATTAAAAAAATTATCAAAAGTTGATGGACGTTAATCATTCATTTTGTCTTTATCGCATAAAAATACAGTAATAAATATATAACTTAGTATTAAAATTATGAAAAGCATACAAATGCTAACCATAAAGAAATTTAACATTTATTTAAAAAAAAAAAAACTTAAATTTATCCCAAAAATTATAATTGCTAATATTAATTACAGAACAAAAAATAAATTAATCAAACTGTCTAAATAAACTTTAGTGTGTTATTTTAGCTGAAGCAAAATACTGACACTACCTTATTTGAATTTGCAAAGTTAAGTTAATAATTAATTTTAATTATGAATATACAAAAATAAAAATTTTACATGTAATTTATAAATATCACATAATATACAAAATGTATTTATTTATAAAATCTATATAAATGAATTAATATCGAATTTTAATTCCTGGAAGAATTTTATTAAAGATATTTATCCTATAATATAAATAGGTATTTATATTAATCACTTGTATATTAAGAAGATATGAAATTCTAAAAATCATTTATTAATATATTTTCATATTACAGAAGGACTTCTCTAACGTCTGGAAATAAAGAAAAGAAAGAGACGTTTCATAACTGGGGGAAAATAATTTTTACCTATGAATAAAATAAAATCACAATCAAACTTATTTAATAATAATATGCTTTTTGTTAATGAAATATTTCTAAATATGTATAAGTTTAAATGAAAGCATACGCAAATTGGAAAAAATAATGAAAACGAAAAAAATTTTATACTTTTATCTTCAATGCCGAAAATATCTCAAAACTATACAATAAATGTTCAGTAATTACTGCCCTTAATGTACATCTTTAGATATTTGTCAAAAGTAAAAGAAGAAAAATAGGTAGATAAGAAAACAAAAACTCTATTGAAATCTGTCAGATCACTAAAAATTCTTCGTACTGCGTTTTTAAACCCTGTTCTTAAAAAAAAGCATTATATTATATTTTCTCGTTTTTCTCTCTTATCTTTTTGCTTTTATTCGTAAATCCTGGCTAGCTTTCCTGGTTGGTGCTAGCCAGGATTTCTGAACAAGTGGAAAAAAACTTTTCCCCGATGGCCATAATTAAGCTATATTCTACTTCGATGAAGTTGTACTTTATCAAAAGGAAGTCAATAGCCAATGGAAGGCCAAAAAGGTCAATATTCTTAAATTATCAATAGGAGTGCATACATTCCTTAACAGGAGAACATACGCCATTTTTACCACTTTGTTGGTGCCACATCAAGAACTGCTGATCGTGGAAGATGAATAATTTTGTGCCTATTTTGTCAAACACATAAAAAATCGCTCGAATCTTATGCTTAAATTGTAGAGATGTATCAAATAAGCAAGCAATACGAGAGAAAATGCACACGGAAATGGACAGATACAACAAAAGTTCAAGAAACTTTTCTACAGCACCTAACTCACACTTCATAAAAATCAGTGGATCCGTCACAAGTCAATCAACCTTTCCCACTCAAGGGGGTAGATCTGACAAACACTGTAGAGAAGTAAACCATGACCACCAGTCGTTGACCACTCAGCTCACTGTTGCGCGCGAGGAGCTTCACGCGTGACTGGCGTTTGCGGATCAACTGAGCGTGAACCACCCATCTTGCAAGTGACTTCATCAACTCATATTCCCTTTCAAAAATTATGTTTCTCTGTCACAGGTTCCGCTCACTTTAAACACGTTCTGCTTGAGATGGACGAAGCTGGATAATGAGTCGAAGGACTTTTAACCTCATCAATGGAGTATTTAGTATATGACATCAAGAAAATGATTTTTTCAAATCCACAGATTAGCAAAATTGTAATTGGGCCATCTAATGTAGACTCAGATGACTTGTTACAACTCTTTCAAGAATTTGTATCCATTGACAAGAGTATAAATTCTGATGATCACTGATATTAAGATTGAATAGATATAAGACGATGAGCCGCGATGGCTCAGTGGGTAAAGGCAGTGAGCTGCCGTAGCGAAAGACTGGAGTTCGATCCTCTATGGCGGTTTGAAGACCACCCAGCTTCAGATAGATGGGTACCAACTTGTCTGAGAAGTAAATGAGACACTGTGCGCAATGCTGATCATATTGCTACAACAATGCCACTGGCGTTTAAGAATTGCGCAGTCTTTACCTCCATGACTTCATGTCCACAACTGCCTGTAGCAGGAATGCTTCTTTTAAATACAAGAAGATGTAAGGTAATGAAAAAAGAAGATTTTAGCTTCTATCTTCTGATATCGGCATTTTAAAAAATTTATATTCAAACTCACATCGAAAGGTCAGAAAGGAGATTATTACATAACATGAGATTATTTGGTATCGGAAAAGGCTTCTTTTTACATTTACCGAACGAGTTTTATAATATTGTGTTATAAATGCCGGGACCAGTTATAGTGGCTTCAGATATTTACCAACTATGCATGGTGTCAAAGGATTTATATCTATTGCTGCTCACATAAGCAATAAAATCGTAAAATTTGCTTGACTGTAAATTATCAAACATGCGGATGTTATTAATTATAATTAGCTCTAAGCAATGAGATTTTAAAAGCAAATATAGTTCCAGATTATCAACGAATCAAAAAAACTAAAAAGAATTGCAAAAATTACAAAATAAGAAATCCAACTTTGAATTGAAATTAAACTTTTCATACAATATTGCAAACGTTTCATTACATCACGTACGCTTCTTTAAAATTATTGGAACACATTCGTACAAAATGTCAAGAATTTTCCTTTCCATAGATTACTTTTTATTACTTGATTAAGCCAAAGAATACAGGATTATAATATTTTAAAACAATAATTACGCACGAGATCTAAAAATATTTATTTTAGAGTTTTAATTACTTCCCAAGAGTATTAGCAGAATAATTGTTATGTTTTTTGTTTATGCGATAAAATCTTAATCGTAGGCTTTAGAAAAGAAAATTTTTCCATATGCGTTTCTCTCGAAACTGTGTTTTGCAAAAGTTAACTTACATAAAATTTATTCAATCATAACAAAATTTTTAACGTTGCTGTGAAATGTAGTTTTTTGTTGGACTACGTAAATGATTTCAGTTTTTTACTGTATTTTTTTTCCTTAACAATTTTAATTGCCATTTTCAATTCAAACTCAAACTCGCTTTTTTTTTCTTCAAAAATCCACAGATTTTAAGTAACAAATCAAATAAATACGAAGTTGAATTTGAAATTCGTTGATGGTAGCCGTTTATGCAACTAGATTTTACAAATTGCAAAAAATATTTTCTAACTAAGCCATTACTGCTGTAAAATTTGTTGGTAATTGCTTTGTTTTCGCCTACTATTGGGTCGTCCAGAAATGCTACGTAACGTATGTTAAGTCTGATTCTATAATACAAGATATCATATGTATTTGCATGATCTTTCCGAATAACCCAATATAATGAATATAAAGTGTCCAGTGAAACGTTTGCGCTGTGTTGAACGTATCTGATTAAAGGTTTGATGAATCTTATAAATAATTACGCCAAGTAAATAATGCGTTTATTGTTTTTGACAATCAACCTATACAGAAATAAATAAATAAATGAAATTAACTGAATATATTAAATACAGACAATCTTTTTTTATACAAAGATACATCTAACAAATGGATAAAGTAAATCTGACAAAATTTTTTTTTCACACTTAAACAAAATCGATGTTAATGTTCCTTTGTTACGTAGAAAAT